GCCCGTGCAGAGAGAGCGGTTCTGTTCGAGGAGTCCAACATCTAACTTTTAACTCAAGCCTGACACATAAGGTAGTGGGGCACATGGAGGTTCGCTTGAGAGACTCCACCTTTGGCTCCATAACCTGACCCACAAAGCAGTGGATAGCAAGTCCAGGTCGGGAGTGTAATTACAGAGACTCATTGAGATCTACCACACATAGCGTTTGAAGAATTAGAACGGTTCACCATTTTTTCGACCGTAGTATTATACGCACCTGGTGAGAGATTTCATGACTCGCTGAGGAAAATGGTGGATAGATCCTGACATATCGCTGACCCGCTGCTCCCAATAGTATGCAGTGGGTTCATGTCCTGGACACTTCATCGTTGCGACCGCCTGGTGGGAATTGGGTTACATCTTTCCTCTACCGAAGAGTCCGGACACACAATTCCGCGTGAGTCGGTTCAGATTCATGGCGCACGACCGGCTGCCTTTCGAGGGTACATCACACCGAAGGCTTTGGCCGAGGACCCGAGCCGTTTTCCTGTTCAGGTGTGGGCGCCCTCACAGTATATCAGTTGAACAATCTCATGCTGCATCGGCCGTCACGCAGTGGCACTAGGAGAAGGGTCCCCTTACCTGCTGCATACAGCAAGGCAGATAAGCAAAAACATGCTACCGCTGACGTCTCCACTCTTTCTTCTTCCTCAGCACACACTCTCCCCGTTTCACCTAACCCACTACTTCCTCTAATCCAGGTAACTACAAGTACGAATGCTTGCCACCGAAATCGTACGCCTCCGTGCAAAGCGCTCAAAATTGGGTGATGGAACGTGCGCACCGTACTCCACCGGCACGCGAGTGGGCGTCTCGAGTGACACACTTCACTGGTCGCGATGGAACTCGTGCGCTACCGGATCGACATTGCCCCACTCAGCGAGACACGGCTCGCTGGTGCTGAGTACACGTTCTACTGAGTAGAAAAAGCTACCACAGCACCACGTGGACATGGGGTGAGATTTGCGCTATCCGACCGTCTAAACCACCAGCTGGTGGCGAGATCGACTGGCATCGACAAAGAACTGATGACTCTCCGTCTGCGACTTGGAAGAGATAAGTGCTCCACTTTTATGGCCATATATGGTTCAAC